GCACCCAAGTGCCGGGCACTGTTGCAGGCACCAGGGATGGAGCCGCAGGCACGAGGCAGTAAGCCTTGCTCATGGAGCTTATGGGGTGGCGGGGTCAGATGAGTACAATAGAGAGCCCGTCGGAAAGTGGAGAGTGCAGGGAGGACGGGGAGAGGGAGCAGTGTCAGGTTGGAGCCACCTGGGGAGGCCTCAGCGAGGAGGTGAGAACTACCCGTGGAAGATGCTGGGAATGGTGCCAGCCAGTGTGGGGCCCCCAGAGCTGATCCCTGTGTCACCAGTGGGGCTGATACGGTTTGCACTAGGGCCGCAGGCGAGCCACTTAGCTCTGTGACTCGGTTTCCTTGGTTGGCTGTTCGGAAACATTGGTGTTTTTAAAATCCCCTGGAGGACTTGTTAAAAATTCAGATGCTCAGGCCCTCCCCACTCTTCCCCATCCCAGACCCCCAGAGTCAGAATCTCCCCAGGTTTGGGGTGGGGGCAGTTTGGTGACTGGCAAACTGTTCTCATGTCTACCTGGAGCCCGAGGACCATTGAGAAGGGTCCCCTGGACATTTCAGAATTCTCTTACTGGGGGGGGGGCCTTGTCAGGGGCCAGCCCATCTCCCCACTCCATCATCACCTCCCTCACCTGCCCAGGGCCTGGAAATTGTGAACCCGCAAGCAGCCGAGAAGAAGGTGGCTGAGGCCAACCAGAAGTATTTCTCCAGCATGGCCGAGTTCCTCAAGGTCAAGGGCGAGAAGAGCGGCATCATGTCCACCTGAGGCACTGCGCCCTGGGGGGCTGCCCCTGAAGCTGCACAGGCCCCGCCCTTCTGAAGGGATGGGGTCAGGATAGGGCTGGGAGGTTCCGTCCTCAGCCCGGTGCCAGGACTGTCCGGGGAGGCTCGGGAGGAGGCCCAGCCCCCCAAGCACCGAGATCGCTCCCCATTGCAGGGGGCGCAGAGCCAGTCTTCACCATGCCTCATCTTTTGTATTTTAACTAGGAAGGGAGATACTTTTGGAAAAAGTGCAATTAAAAGCACATTATCAGGTTCTGTTCCTGGGGAGTGGTCATTTGTCAAACACGTGTGTGACTGGAGGAGTCTGAGCTGTGGGGTTTGGGGGCACAGATCCAGGTGGTGTCTGGGCCCATCCCTGGCCTTTCTCTTCCCTATTCCGTAACAGGCTGTGGTGTCAGGTGAGTGGCCTCGCATTTCCAAGCCTCCACCCCTAACACCAAGGGCCACCTGTGAGGATGTGAAAGGTGCCCGGGACGTGCCTAGCATTGGGCTGCCTGTCAGAGTCCAGTGTTTGCAGAGTACTCCCTGCCCACCCTGCTGTGCCGAGCCCTGATGGGGCTGAGCAGACAGGCTCCCTGCCGGCCGGGACGCGGTGCTCTAAGAGTTCCTCCCACGTCAGTCCGTCCTGGAACTGGGGCTCAGCCAAGGCCCCCTTCTCTTGGGCTGGGAGGTGCAGGCCGAGGGCACGCGGCCTGCAGGCAGGTGGGGACAAAGCTGTGGGCAGGGGCTGTCCCTGGGGCTACCCTGCAAGCGCTAATTAAGGAAGGCGCCACCTGGGGGCCCATGTACTGTGCTCCGGAGCTGGGCTTCACAGTGCACTGGGGAGGGAGCCCTGGTCACCGACCTGTGAGGTCAGTCAGCGCCCCTCTTAGTTACCCAGGGGGTGGGTGCACAACCCACCCTGTAGGAAGGTGATGCCTCCTACCTCTGCCAGTCTCCCACCCTCCAGTTCACACTTTCTCCCTGAGGCTTTGGCTGGCTGGGTCCCGTCTGAGATATCTCCTTCTCTGTTCCGCTTTCTGGGCCGCCCCTGCCATACTTGCTCCAAGTATGTCTCAGTTCAGGGCTCACTCTGTGGACCTCAGCCCCTCTCTGAATCTCCCCCCTCACATCAGAGTCTACACCACCTGGGAGATTCCTTCTAATGGCTACACTACCCCAGGTCACTGAACTCGGTTTCCCCAGCTTTATCCCTAAGCCTTTAGATCAGCCCTGTTGAAAAGTGATGAACTTGGCTGATCTCTGCTGATGAGTCTGCCGGGGAAGGGTGCTCTGTCTGCCCCTCTTCAGAACCTCCACCTCCCTGGCCAGAGTCAGAAGGGATCTGATTCACCTCGTGCTGCAGTCTTGCAGAACCTTAGAACAGAGATGCTCAAAGCTTAGCATGCTTCAGAATTACCTGGGTGGCTTGTTTAAAACCAGGGTTGCAGGGCCCAGGGTTTCTGCTTCAGTTGGTCTAGGGTGGGAACTCAAAAGTGTACATTTCTAGTAAGTTCCCAGGTGATGCTTTGGCTACTGATTGATACCTCACTTTGAGAACCACTTCTAGAAAATTCTCTATCAGATGAGCTGCATGTTGGAATCATCTCAGTAGATTTAAAACATTAGTCTGGTTCCCATTCCCAGAAATTCAGATTTCAGTGGTCTAGGGTAAAAGACATACCTGGATTTTTTCTTTCAAGCCACCCAGGTGAGTCTAATGTGCAGCCAAGTTTGAGAACCACTGCTCTGAATCCTTGTTACTCAAAGTGCCAACTGTGGAGCATCAGCATCACCTGGGAACTTGTCAAAAAAGCAGAACCCGGGACCTCCTGAATCAGAATCTGCATCTTAACAAGCCGTCCCGGGTGTCCGAGAGGCACTGCCACGTCCAGGGTCCGCACTTTGAGGAGCGTGGCTCTAGATGAGTGACTCCCCAACTCCAGTGAGCATGGGGATCACGCAGGGAAGTGTGTCAAAGTGCACACCTCCAGGCTTCACTCCCCAGGTCTGTGTGGACCTAAAAACCCCTCCCCTCCCTTGCCCTGCGATTCGGCTGTAGCCCTCACTTGCACCTTCCCTGGATCCACCTTCCCATCTTGACCGTCTGACCCCGAGCAAACGCCTCGTGGTTGGTGAAAGCACCAGTGCCCCCCGAGTCCTGGACCACGAGTCATCCCTCGCGTTCACTCGCTCGCTCATTCATGAGCACAGCGACTGTCTTCCTGCGGATGCCAAGTCCGGAAGGGCAGACGTGCCGAAGCGGGAGAGCGGGAGGGCACAGGGTAACCCCCCGAGGGCCCTCGGAGGCCGACGTGCAGGGGGGAGCTGCTGTCCCAGGCGGCGGCGGGACAGGCGGTCCGTGCATCCCTCCCCGCCCCAAGGGCGTGCGAGCGCCAGTGACTCGGGGCGCTGTCCACTGCTCCCCTGCTCCCTCCCACAACACCGAGCCGCAGACCTGAGCCGAACGCGGGCCGCGGCAGGAGCGCGACGCAGCCGGGACACGGGGGACGCCGAGCCCGCCGGCTACGCCCCGTTCCACAAGCTCGGCAGGCGGGTGCCGCCCCCTCGCTGCGCCCCCGTACCGGCCGGGGTGAACGACACCAGGCGGGGCCGACGGGGGGACAGCTCCTCCCCCCGTCGACCGGCAGGCGACTTCGGCTCGGCCGGCGCTCGGAAGGCACCTGTCCGCCTCTCATTAGGTGAGCGGCCTTTCACGCCCACGCTCCATGCCTTCCTCCGCTTTCCCCACCCACTTCCGGACCCAACCAATGGCTTCAGGGCAGAATATCCCCTCACAACCAATTAAAAACGGCTCTAAACTTGACGAACGACTTCCCGCCCCTGATCAGCCTAGCTCCTCCCCCCGGCCAATTGGTTTAGGAGAAGGGGGACGGGTGTATCCAATCAGCACGACAGTGGCCTCTTGATTGATGCACGGGCCCTCGCGCTGGCGTGTTGTGCCCTGAGGCGGGGAGGAGGAGGAGCGGGGAAGAAAACCTGAGCCAATCCTAGCAGCCTGCGCGGGAGGCCAATCGAACGCCGCGCCTTGGAGGGATTGCCCAATCGGCGAGAGGAGGCCGGCTGCATCCCTGCCAAGGACCAATAGGGTGCGTCCGGGGGGCAAGAGCGACATGCCGCAGGAGCAATCATAGGCCCATATTCGGGGCTCGGGGGCGGGTCGGCGCCAGAGACGAGAAGAGAGGAGGGGAGGCCTCCTCCGCCGCCGCCATCTTGGACCGGGCCCGGTCAGCTTCCGCGGAGCCATCGGCAGACGCCGCGGCCTCCCTTGAGCCCCGACCCCGTCGTCAGAACAACCCCGGGCCCACTTCCCCCCACCCCACTTCCGCTTCGCGCCGCTATCGCGATAGCGCCCGGGCCCGGGGCGCGAGAAAAAGGCGGCGGGCGCTCGCCTCCCCCGCCTGTCGCGATACGCTCCTCAGCGGCGGCGCCAGCTCCTGTGGTGAGAGCGTCAGGCTCGACTGGGCCGGACCCCTTCCCCTCCTCCCCAGGCGCCACCGCCGCCCTCCCCGCCGCCGCCCGCCTCGGCGACACCGCCGCCTGTCGCGACATGGCCGCCCCCGGCCGCCGTCCTGCCCCCCCCCCCCCGCGCGCCCGCACCCTCCTCCGCGCCCCGCGACGGCGCCGGGGGTGCCCCCCGCGGGGGGTGCGCGGGCGCGCGGGGCCGCCCCTCTCCGCGTCGGTCCGGGCGGCGGGGGGACTGCAGCCCCCCGCGGGCTCCGTACCCCCCACCCCGGCGCCCCCGGGGCCAGGCCGCCCCCTGCACGGCGCGCCGGCCCCGGCGGCCTTTGCCAAAGTTTGCCCTGCGGCGGAAAGTCGGGGGCGCGGGGCCCCGCGTCTTCGGCGCGGGCCGGGCTGCCCCCTCGGGCCGCGGGCTGTCCGCCCGCCCGGGGCATGTCACTCCCACTTCCCGAGCTCCCCTGCGTCTCGGGGCGCCGCGCGGCGGGAGCGCCCCTGCACCCGCCCCCCGGGGGCGCCGCTGGCCGGTGCGCGTGGGTGTGCTGACGCCTCCGCTCGCTGCCCGCGCCGGGCCCCCGTTCGCACCGGCCTTGGCTGGGGGCGCCCTCCTTCCGGAAGGCACGGGCCCGCCCCCTCGACGTCGGCGGGGGGCCCAGGGCTCCCACGGCCCCAGTCCCACGCCCGCGGAACCCCTGGGGGCGTTCCCCAGTCCCACGCCCGCGGAACCCCTGGGGGCGTTCCCCAGTCCCACGCCCGCGGAACCCCTGGGGGCGTAAGGCCTCCCAGAGCTGAGGGTCCTGTACTGTGGCGTGTGGGTTTTGCTGGCTGGGGTGCGCTTTCTCCTCCAGCGTAAGGAAACTCAGGGTTGCCTCCCCCGGGCACAGGGCTCCTGCCCCTCCTGGCACTGGCCCCTGCCAGGTGTAGGTGCCCGGGACTCATGCTCCTGCTCTCTCCTGCGTGTGGCTCTAAGTCTTCTGCCCTCTCAGTGGAGGGGGCGTGAGGTGCCTGAGATTGGACGGACAGACCCTGCCGTTGTCCCCTTGCAGAGGACGAAAGGTTCCTCTGCTGTAGGCTTTCCCAGGTGGGGTTCCCAGCCCCCCATTCTTGGTGTGGGGGCTCCCGGTGGGGAGGCCACTGCCTCCACCCCAGGCCCTCACGCGTCCCTCTTCCAGAGTCTGGTGCTTTATGTGGCAGCGTCAGCAGCCTCCTGGGTTAGGGATTGCCCTCCAGCATCACTTCGCAGTGGGCCAGAGCTCCTCGGCCATGGCCTGAGGCCTCTTCGTAGGGGCCCGTGGCAGCCCCGTGACAGCCCCCGGGTTAGGACCACGTGGTGTTAGTTCCCAGGACTCAGCCTTCTGCCCTTCTGCCCTGGTCTCCGTCGGGCCTCTCTGCACCCTCCTTCCTGAGCTGAGGTTTTGGGGGCTGGCCTTCATTAGTTTGGGTCTCCCACTGCAGTGGCTGTTGGCCTCTGTGGGTCTGGCACACTGCTCACCCCACCCCCAGAATGGGCTCCGTGGGGGGATGAGACTTTTGGTGAAGCCTCCTGGGCCAAGGTTCAGTTTTGTTCGAGACCTTTGCCGTGAGCGTGCAAGCTCTTGGGTGCCTGAGATGCCCCCCGTCTCAGAGTGGGCCTATTGTGGTTACTTTTCCCTGGGGGATCTTGGTGGCTCCTCCCAGGAGCAGTGGGGGCTCCCAGCCCTTTAAAACTGGGGCTTTTCTGTGGTGGCACCTCCACTTCAAGGCTCAAGTTCCACCCTTCTGTCTGGTCCTTTGCTGGGGGGTCTACGGTATCTCGATGTGGGGGTCTTTCTTCAGGGGGAGGGGCTGTTGCATCTGTGGCGAAGGCTCCTGTCCACTTTGGCCCCCAGCTTGTCTAGAGGGTGCACATACCCTGGGCCCGTGGTGCCTCCCACAGGTCCAGTGCTGTCCTCTCCGGGCCTGAGCTGTTCCCCACCTTGAGGGTCCGAGACCTCACCTCCCTGGGCTAGGGCTCTTGTTGCCCTGGCACCGTGCTCTGACTACTTCAGGGCTCGTTGCTGCCAGTCTGTGCCCCTCTCGGGGGCATCACCTCCTCCACTGTGTTGGTGTCCCAGCTCCTCAGTGTGGCGTGCCTTGTGTAGGGTATAAACTCGGCATCCTCTCCCTCTGGACTGGAGGCAAGCAGTGCAGGCTATTATGTCGCGTCCCTGTCCCTGCTCCAGGGCAGTTAGAGGCGTTTCTGTGTTGGGGTCCTGGCCCTCTCCCGAGCTCCCAGGCCAAAGGCTCTTCCCCCATTTCAGTTTGCATCCGCTCTGTGCTGCTGTCTGCTAGGTCCTTTTTCTGGCTGCCTCTCCTTCCTGAAGCGGGGATCTTTCTTATGTGGGGATTGGGCCCCACCTTGGTGTGTCAGCTGGCCCTGGGCCGAGGGTGTAGCCATTCTCTTGGTTGGCCCTTGGTGGAGATTTATGCTCCCTCTAGTCTAAGGTGTCACACCCACTCTCCACGTGCGGAGTGGGCTCCTGTGGAGGGTGCTGGGACACAGGGCCTCAGGGCCTCTGGTCCTCCTCAAGCGTGCGCTCATACACTGTCCCACTGGTAGCTGCTAGCCACGTGTAGTGAAGTAATTGAAATAAAATGAAAAGTTCTACTGTTTAGTGCCTGAGTCACATTTTCAGTGCTCAGGGGTACGGGTAGCTCAGATACGGAACATTCTGTTTTTGTAGAAAGTGTTGGACAAGACTGTTCTTGAGATGTTTCCTTCCCTGGGGGTGGGGACCCTCTCGGTGTGACCTCCCTTTGGGTTGGGGCTCTTAGTCCTCGCTGGAGTTAAAGCTGCTCTGGGGCACCCTGCCCTGGGCTTCTCAGGGAGCCATGCTTTTCAGTAGAGGCCCACCCTCTCTGGTGACCTCAGGCAGTGCACGGTCCCCTCGGCATAGCCCCTCTGCAAGGCTCCTGGATCTCCCCCGATCTTGGTGTCAGACCCTAAGTTGTGGCTTCCCCCTGGGCCAGAGCTCCTGGTGACTCCCCATTTGAACCCAGTCTCCTCTGGATTGCATGTACTTTAGGGTGAAGATGCCTCTCTAAGTACTGGGCACGCGTCCCGATGGTTTATGTTTCCCCACATCTGTGTCACCAACGTATCTGATACGTACCTCCTTAGTGTGCACAGATGGCGCTCTCACAGCTGAGGCCCCCTTTCACTCTCCTGGCCCTCTCTGGGGTGATGCCTTCTGCCCCCACACATCTAATTCTTGGTGTCAGTGTCTTTGGGTTGGGTTGTCTCCTGTGTTTTAAAGTCTCTGCCCTGGAATAAGCTTGGTGGTGTACGGCCCGCTTCTGCTTGGGACCAAGCCCTGACACGATGGGTGGGTTTAGCTCTTCCTGATTCCAGGCATTTCCCATCTCCCACTGCTCCCCTTCTGTCCCCTGCAGTTCTTACACACAGACGGCATCTGGCCCTTCTACCTGCAAACTCTTCGTATTCTGGCCTGTGTGAGGGGAGCCCCCTCCGGTGTGAGGATTCTAGTCACCGGTGCACCCTGCCCCTCTGTGGGCCTTACTCCCCAGCACTCGGCCATGGGCTGCTTGACTTCTTGCTCTAAAACGTCTGGAGTGTCATCTGGGGAGAAGGTGTTCCACGCTCTAGGAATTTCCCACTTCCTGGGAAAGAGTACACCTGTTTCCTTGTTTCGACAAACTTCCGGAGCATTCGGACCCTGTGCTGGGCTGTCGGGGCAGCATAAGTAGAGCTTGGCCTCCTCTTGGTCGTCAGATAGTAAATGCGTCTTCCCTCTACCATCCCACGTACCCTCCTCTTCCCAGCCTCATTCACGCATCTGTGTTTGGCCAGGCGGGGAATAAACTTGTGTCCTTTCCTTCTCTGTCAGCAGCGTCCGTCTCCAAGAGAGTATGAAGAGAGTGCGTCTGTAGGGCAGGGAAGATGGCGGACAAGCGCAAACTCCAAGGTACTGGTTTCCTTGCCTGCTGCATTTGTAGCCACATGCTCACTGTCCTCTGAACTCCTCCTCGGATGCCTGCTGCCGTGGCAGGGTGCTAACAGCCTTCTCTCCTCCCCGGCCAGGTGAGATTGATCGCTGCCTCAAGAAGGTGTCCGAGGGCGTGGAGCAGTTTGAAGATATTTGGCAGAAGGTACAGGGCCTGGAGTCCTAAAAATCTGGGTCTCCAGGGAGGAGAGCACAGGAAGACGTTCAGGGTCTCTGGGTGTAGGCCAGGGAGAGGGGTTGTGGGTCCAGGTGCTGAGGACCTTAGAAGCAGCTCTGAGATGGATTGGGGCAGCGGGCGTGGGGGGGTGGTGTTCCCAGAGTCCCCAGCCCCAAGAAACTGGAGCTTTACCACCGGAGTGGGCACAAGGGCCCCAAGTCCCACGCTGACTCCTGGGTTCTCTTCATCCCTCAGCTCCACAACGCAGCCAACGCGAACCAGAAAGAAAAGTATGAGGCTGATCTAAAGAAGGAGATTAAGAAGCTTCAAGTGAGGAGACTAGGGGCCTGGATTCCTGCATCCCTAGGGCAGAGGGAGCAAGGAGGAGGGGGCTGGCGGCCTCGGTGCCCAGGTCCTAAGGCAGTGTGACTGTCTTGCTTTTCCCCCACCTGCAGCGGCTGAGGGACCAGATCAAGACATGGGTAGCATCCAACGAGATCAAGGACAAGAGACAGCTCATAGACAACCGCAAGCTCATTGAGACGGTAGGAGCCCAGAGCCTGGAACCTGAGAGGTGGGAGGAGGCCGGTTCCCAGGTCCCCAGAAGGCCCTGGAAGAGGAAGGTTTCTCCGCCCGGGGGAAGGGGAGAGGCGATGGGCTGGGACCTCCTGCCAACTGCGCTGTCCACAGCAAATGGAACGGTTCAAAGTTGTGGAGCGAGAGACCAAGACTAAGGCCTACAGCAAGGAGGGCCTGGGCCTGGCACAGAAGGTGGACCCTGCCCAGAAGGAGAAGGAAGAGGTTGGCCAGTGGCTCACGGTGAGTCAGGGGAGAGAGGAGGAGAGGACCCCGGGGCCCTGATCCCTGGGTATCCGTGGGGACACTGGCTGACCACCCTCCTTTCCCCTCCCTTTCCCCCAGAACACCATTGACACCCTGAACATGCAGGTGGACCAGTTTGAGAGTGAAGTAGAGTCACTGTCTGTGCAGACGCGCAAGAAGAAGGGTGACAAGGATGTGAGTGGGGGGACCCTGCGCCTGGGGGACAGAGACAGGCTGGCGAGCGGGGGGGTTTAGCGGCCACTGGGGTTGGCCCATGTTGGTGAGCCAGTCTCAGGAGTCCAGCCTCGGTGAACAGCGGTGCCGTGGAAAGGAGGCACGGTTTGGGGGAACATGCTGGGTTGTGCCAGGGTCGCAGACGAGGCGAGAGCGGATGGCGCACAGGGTGGGGAGGTCCGAGAGCTGAAGCCGTGGCCTCCTAGCTCTGAGAAGGCCCAGGTCCTGAGGCAGTAGGGAGAGATGAGGCTCATTTGGGCTGAGAAGAGCAGTCTGGGGGCAAAGCCGGATCTAGGCCCAGATGCCAAAACTCCAGGGTTGTAGGGTGTGGGTTCAGGGTGATGCAAACCACCTGTACTCATTGGCACAGGAAACACAGGGAATGGAGAGCTGGGTCCAGGGGCGCGGGGGGCAGTGGGAGATGTGCCCGATTTAGGGGTCTGAGACGTTGAGGGGTTTGGGAAGCGGAAGCCTGGAGGAGAGATGCAATAGGTCCTTGTGGAGGGGGCAGGGGATTTAGAACTGAGGGCTTGGGGGAGGGACAGGTGCCTGGAGAGCCCAGGAGCTAAGCTGCTGAATCTGGACTCCCTCGGGGTGGGGGGTTGTGAGGACAAAAATGATGGCTGCCTGCAAACGGGCATCGGCACTGTAGCTTTTGGAGCGAGATGGGGGTGGGGTGGGCTGTGGTTTTGAGATCTGGGCTGTCGGTAGCTGCAAAGGGCCACAGTGTAGGAGGCACAGGGCTTTCTGGTCTTTTAGAAGTTTCTTGGGATGGGGCGCCTGGGTGGCTCATTTGGTTAAGCGACTGCCTTCTGCTCAGGTCATGGTCCCAGGGTTCTGGGCTCGAGCCCTGCATCAGGCTCCCTGCTCTGCGAGAAGCCTGCTTCTCCTTTTCCCACTCCCTCTTCTTGTGTTCCTGCTCTCGCTGTCTCATTTTGTGTCAAATAAAGAAATAAAAATCTTTAAAAAAAGTTTCCTGGGATGTCTAGGCAGGAGCTGGGGGTCCTTGAGGGGCTAGACGGAGGGGCAGATTCCGCACTGCCCACGGCAGGAGGGCCTTGGAGTGGAGCCCCTGGGTCTCTGCAGGGGTCGGGGACTGAGGACAGGTTCTATGGGGGCAGGAGGGGCCCAGGCAGGTGCCCTGCAGCCCCTGAGCCTGGCCCTGGACTCGCCAGCAGAAGCAGGACCGGATCGAGGGCCTGAAGCGGCACATCGAGAAGCACCGCTACCACGTGCGCATGCTGGAGACCATCCTGCGCATGCTGGACAACGACTCCATCCTCGTTGACGCCATCCGCAAGATCAAGGACGACGTTGAGTACTATGTTGACTCATCCCAGGACCCCGACTTCGAGGAGAATGAGTTCCTCTATGACGACCTGGACCTCGAGGACATTCGTGAGGCCCAGGGTTGGCCTGTGGGCACGGGGCAGTGAGGGCCAGGTGGGAGGGCGTCCGAGCCCGTTGAGCATGCCCCTCCCTGCCTCCACAGCACAGGCGCTGGTCGCCACCTCCCCCCCAAGCCACAGCCACATGGAGGATGAGATCTTCAACCAGTCAAGCAGCACACCCACCTCGACCACCTCCAGCTCTCCCATCCCGCCCAGTCCGGCCAACTGCACCACGGTGAGGAGGCGGCCTGTGGGAGGGGAACTGGGGAAGTGGGGTCTGGGTATCCTGGGCCCGGGCCCTAAGGGCCAGATAGGGCTGCGCGTGGGTCCTGGGCGTGCGGTGAAGGCTGAAGGCTGTGCAGCGGGGCTGCTCAGGCAGGGATCAAGGATTGGGTTCCCTAAGGAGAGCAGGCTCCTGGGTCCGTGAGAGGCTGACAGGTGGTGCTGCTCCCAGAAGACAGGGACCCTGGGTCCCCCGGTGAGGCCAGGGCATAGGCACCGCAGCGGCCTTGGGAGCTTCAGAGATTGGCGTCTCTGTCGGGGCCCTAGAGGTCACACAGGTGTCCGACTGCGCCTCTTCCACCTCAGGAAAACTCTGAAGATGACAAGAAGAGGGGACGCTCGACGGATAGCGAAGTCAGCCAGGTGTGTGTGCCCTGTGAGCGCCCCCCCAGGATAGGAGCAGGCTTCAGGAAGCACTGCTCCTCGAACCAGGGTGTCAGGGAGCAGCCTGCTGGGAGGGCACTGAGGGGGCTGGTGTGGGACCCGGGCGAGCAGCTGGGGCCAGGAAGGAGTTGGGCTCAGGACCCCTTGATGTGTAGCGAGTGCGAGGTGCCAGGGGGCTGTCAGGCAGGGAGTGCTGCTTGGCCGCCGCTGCGCTGTGGGTGTGTCACTCCTTTCTTGCAGGGGGTCATCTGCGGCCCCTCCGGTTGCTTTTGTGACCCTTTAACATTCAGAACTACTGCCCAATTTTAGGCTGCTTTTCCTTCTCCTCTTGGAGTGTTAGCTGGTTCCAGTTAATCTCCTATTGAGGCCATAGCACTTCCCCGAGCTCCAGTGGGTGTCTGTCCCTGACAAGAGCTCTATGGGTCATCTTCAGGAGGCGTCCACGCAGGATGTGGGAAGCTGGGTGTGGGCTGGAACGCGTGTGAGTGTTCAGGTGTGTCCCGCGGTGATTGAAGCTTTGAGGATCAGGTCAAGGGGAGGGGAACAGCTGGGGGCAGTCACGCCCTGCGAGGACAGTGGAGCCCAGCTGGGGGGGCGGGGGGGGGCAGGGCTCGGCAGACCTGCTGGCCCACCGGGTCCTGACCCTCTTCTCTCCCCCCGACCCCCGCAGTCTCCGGCCAAAAATGGCTCCAAGCCTGTCCACAGCAACCAGCACCCTCAGTCCCCGGCTGTGCCGCCTAGCTACCCACCTGGCCCCCCACCTGCCGCCTCTGCCCTGAGCACTGCCCCTGGCAACAATGGGGCCTCCACCCCAGCAGCGCCCACAAGCGCCTTGGGCCCCAAGGCCAGCCCAGCTCCCAGCCACAGTTCAGGCACCCCTGCACCCTACGCCCAGGCTGTGGCCCCGCCGGCCCCCAGCGGGTCCAGCACCGCCCAGCCCCGGCCCCCCAGCGTCCAGCCTGGCGGCGGCGGGGGCACCACTAACAGCAGCGGAGGCGGAGGCGCTGGCAAGCAGAACGGCACCACCAGTGAGCAGGGGGGCTGCAGGGGGCTGGGGGGCCCTGGGGCGGTCGGCCCATTTTCATCCCATCGTCCTGCCCCCAGGTTATAGCTCGGTGGTGGCAGACAGCCCAGCAGAGGTGGCTCTCAGCAGCACTGGGGGCGGCAGTGCCAGCAGCCAGGCTCCGGGCCCCCCGTCAGGCCCCCACAACCCGCCGCCCAGCACCTCGTGAGTGGCCGTCGGCAGTCCCTGCCCCTGCCAGGATTTGGCCCGCTGGTCGGGTGGGGCGTCCCCACTTTCTTCCAGCCAGGACATTGTACCCAGCAGTCCCCTAGCTTTACACTTTGTAGTGTTCTAAGACATCCTTGGGTAATCGGGATTGTTCTTAGAGCCCCCACATGTCCCCTGGAACACGTCCCCTTTCCAGTGACCTGCCCCAGGCCCACCTGACTCCCCTCAGAGGGTTGCCTCTCCAGATCTCAGGTCAGACCTTTCCAGGGGGTCCCTGTCCTCAGAAGATTGCCCCAAGAAAGACTGTGACCTCCGAGGGACGTAGGGAAGACCTGCTTCCTGGGTCTGCTTCACCGCCAGGCTCTGGGTGGGCCGCCCCAAGGGGGCACCTGCCCTGTGTCCATCAGCCTGAGGCGTCCCGTTCTGTGGGTGGACCAGGCCCCTTCATGCTCCCCCTCCGTGGACCGTTGCAGGGGCCTGATCCGGCCCCTCCTCTGAGCCCTTTCCCCTTTTCTCCTTCCCAGGAAGGAACCCAGTGCGGCGGCCCCAGCAGGGGCTGGGGGTGTGGCCCCAGGCTCAGGGAACAACACAGGGGGACCCAGTCTCCTGGTGCCACTTCCCGTGAACCCTCCCAGCTCCCCAACACCCAGCTTCAGCGAGGCCAAGGCAGCCGGCGCCCTGCTCAACGGACCTCCACAGTTTAGCACTGCCCCAGAGATCAAGGTGGGCCTCCGGCTTGTGTGTCCTGGCCCCGCCATCTCCCCTGCACGTTCGCTGTCCCCTTCCTCTAGGTCTGCCAGCGCCCCCACCTCCTCTTTCAGTAGGGCTCTGGCTCCCCACCCCCCCGCCCCCTGCCTGCTCGCTCCTCCCCACCACGTGCCCCCTTGCCTGGTCCCCGGGCTCCACCACCCTGCTCTCTGGGACTCTTTCCTGGGCTCCTGGCTGGACTTGCTCTCCTGCCCTCTGGGTTCCCACCATCCTCTCTGACCTCGTGTCTTCTCGCGCCTTCACACACGCCACCATCAAGCTCGCCGCCCTCCTTTTCCCTTCTGAGGGACCGTCTAAGTTGAGAAAACACTGACATCCACTCTGGGCCATGCTTCATGCCAGGTGACCACAGCCAGTTCCACCTTCTCTACAGAAAGCCAAGTGGGACTGCACGGGCCCGGGGCAGCGGGTGCCATGGACCTGCAGAGGTGCCTCGGACTTGGGGAGATGGCCCAGCAAGACCTGGGGTGGGGGGCGATCTCTGAGCTGGGAGAGGTGGGGGCCCAGTGGCGGGAAAGGCTGAGGGAGGAAGGAGTGGTTCTCATGCTGGAGTTCTGGGAGGGCTGCTGTCGGAGCTGGGGGAGAATGCTGGGGCAGGGCTCCATAGGCAGGAGGTGGGGGTGCAAGCTGGCTGCGGTGGTGGGGTGTCCTAGAGGGCTGTGGGGTCCTGGGCGCCAGGGTCTGAAAGGGGAGCAGAGTGTGGGGCTGACTTTCTGGGCCTGCATTTAACCTCAGCTCCATGTTCTGTGTGGCCTTCTGTGGATGGAGCAGGTGCTTATAATTGCACCTCAGTTATGACAGGACAGTGAGGCCCTTGGAACAGAGTGTGGCCCAGAGTAAGCGTGCAGTTTGGAGGAACCATGGACAGGAAATTTATAGTGTGTCTATCTGTCTGGAGTAAAGGGGTCCACTGGGCTGTGAGCAGAGAAGGGACACAGGCGGATGTGGCCTGGGCAGGTCCCTCCGGGGCCAGGGAGAAGAGCACAGAGGGCAGGTGGCGTGAGGGATGGGGGGATGGGGAGGCGGCACAGAGGCCCGGGGCCTGCAGGCTGCGCTGACCACGGCTCAGACACCTGCTCCGGGCGTGGCTTCGGGCCTGCCTGTCCGCCAGCAGGGAGCTGGGATGCCAGGGGTGTCGGGAGACCGCCCCATCCCCCCTGCCCCTCGGCAGCGTTCGGCAGCCTGGCTGCCCGTGGAATGGGTGTGCGTGCGGAGGGAAGCCCGCACAGAGGACCGCGCGCTGCCGGGCGTGCCCTGTGCGTGCACCGCGGTTTGGTCTGCTGGCCGCTGCGGTCCTGCACGGCGGGGGCCCCCCCTGGACAGGCGCTTCGCCAGTGCTGCCTGTTCCCCCGCGTCCACATTGCGTCCCCTGTTAGGTGCTGTGGCGGCGTTCTTCACGCCGGCGGCCTTGGCTCTGCTGACCCCCCCCCCCCCCCGCCGGAGGGGGTGGGAGTGTGGGTCCCAGCTCTCTTCTCTCTGCAGGCCCCTGAGCCTCTGAGCTCTCTCAAGTCCATGGCGGAGCGGGCAGCCATCAGCTCCGGCATTGAGGACCCCGTGCCCACGCTGCACCTGACCGAGCGAGGTGAGGGTCTGGGTGAGGCGGCGGCGGCGGCCCGGCGAGGGGGGCGGCCCCCCACCCCGGCCTCTTGACCAAAGGGCCTGGCCCTGCGCTCCCCGCAGACATCATCCTGAGCAGCACCTCTGCTCCGCCGGCCTCGGCGCAGCCGCCCCTGCAGCTGTCGGAGGTCAACATCCCTCTGTCACTGGGCGTATGTCCACTGGGGCCTGTGCCCCTCACCAAGGAGCAGCTCTACCAGCAGGCCATGGAGGAGGCCGCCTGGCACCACATGCCCCACCCCTCAGACTCCGAGCGCATCCGGTGAGGGGCCGGGACCCGCGAACGTGAGGGAGGCGGCCCTGGTGGGACCTGGTTCCCCATCCTGAGACCGCATGTGAGCAGTCCTCCTGCAGGCTGTGCGCAAGAGCCGGGTTGGAGGCATCCGGTGTGGGGGTGACCAGGCGCCTGAGAAGCTGCCCCTGATCAGTGAGGCAGATCCTCACGCCGCACCGACTGTCGGGCACAGGAACCAACCCTCTGCTCCTCCACAGGCAGTACCTCCCCCGGAACCCCTGCCCGACGCCCCCCTACCACCACCAGATGCCACCCCCACACTCGGACACCGTGGAGTTCTACCAGCGCCTGTCAACAGAGACACTCTTCTTCATCTTCTACTATCTGGAGGTACAGCAGGGCCCCCAGGGCAGCCTCGGGCCCCCCGCCTTCGCCGCCACCGCCGCCGTCCCCCCTCGGGCTGGAGGGGTGAGGTGGGTGCCCCGCTGCGGCCACCGGGACCGCACCCCCTCCCCATCCCACAGCCCTGCTCCCCCACCCCCACCCTGGCAACCATGTCCCTGTTCCCACGTCAGCACAGACACGTCCGTTTTGAGGCTGGGGGCCAGGGAACCCCAGCCCCACTCTGGCCACCCACGGCTGTGCCCACAGTGCCAGCCCCTCTGCATGACCCCAGGGAATGGCGACAAGTCCACCCCCACCCCCCACCCCCCACCCCCCTGCCCCGGGGAAACTTTCCAAACTCCCAACATGCAGTAGTTTTTCTTCCTTCTCAAAGCTTCTCTGGAAGCATTTTCCTCCTCCTGGCCAGCAGTGGTATGTTCTGTGCCCCAGCCCCTCTCCCCCGGGACTGTCCAGCCCAACCTCGGTCCACAGCGGGGCCTGGGGTCAGCCCTGTGCCCCTCGCCCCACCAGTTTGGGGGCCCCCTGATCCCCGGCTCCACGCTTCCTCCCCCAGGGCACGAAGGCGCAGTACCTGGCAGCCAAAGCCCTAAAGAAGCAGTCGTGGCGATTCCACACCAAGTACATGATGTGGTTCCAGAGGCACGAGGAGCCCAAGACCATCACGGATGAGTTTGAGCAGGTGAGGGCCCCTCCCTGTGCCCTGCCCACCCCATGCTCCACGGGGGCCTGTGCCGCTCCCTCGTCCGGCCCCCCCCATGCCCAGCAGAGTAGGGGCTCCGCAGCAACCACGGAGGGGGACGCTGTTTTCTTAATGACTTCCCACGTGGTGGTGGTGATCTCCCACTTGCTGCACCCCACGCTGGAGCCACACCACATGGGTTTGAACCCAGTTCCTGCTGGGTGACCTTGGGCAAGTCGCTTGGACCTGTCTCCCTGTCCTTACGTGTAAGCACGGGCTCACAGACCGCCCTGGGTGCAGTGGTTACAAGGATTGAATGGGAAGGACATGTGTTAATACTGCTTGTTCCATAGTAAGTATCAGGGGTGTACTTTGTTTCCAGTAACTTAAGTGCTATACCCCACAGTGGTGTCTTCCACCAGGTACTTGCCTGACGCCAAGTCCTGAGCAAGGCTTTGTCCTCAGAGAACTTGGGCCCCTCCCCTCGCTTCTTTCAGGTTCTTTGCCGCATTTCAGACGCTCAGTGCAGACCCAGCCCCCTTCCCCTGTGTCCTCTCGCACATTAACCAGACTCCCTGCCCCATCCCCGTTGGGGCCAAAGTAACCCTCCAAGTACGTGTCAAGGCCTCACTCCTTCGGAAATGCCCATGCCACCCCTGTCACCAATAAAACATCTGTCCCAACAGCGTGCCTGGATGTAGACTCCGCCTGTTCCGTTCTCTAGGACGGGGTCACGGCCTCAGGGTTGCGTGAAGACCAAATGCTAGGACACAGCTCGAGCACTGAGCACCGGCTCTGTGCTCAAACGCCGCAGCCGTCACGAGAAGCCATAGCCACTGTGTAAACGTGCCCGGGGTCGAGGCCCGGCTGTGGCTCCTCCACGCCTCCCCGTTTCCTCTAAAGCGCACAGGACGACCTTTCCTGCCTGAGAAGAGCCTGGGGAGGGTGGAGGGACACGGCACATGCATGCAGGGTGCCGGGCCCGGTGCCTGCACCCCTGGCCCCGAGGCCTGTCCCCTCCGTTGGTCCGGCCCGGAGCCCCGGCCACCTCCTCGCCCACTCGCTGACCACCTTCTCCCCTGGCCAGGGCACCTACATCTACTTTGACTACGAGAAGTGGGGCCAGCGGAAGAAGGAAGGCTTCACCTTCGAGTACCGCTACCTGGAGGACCGGGACCTCCAGTGACACCGGCCCCTCCCTCCACCCACCCCTCCCCCTCCCCCTCCCCCGCATGCTGACCCCCCCTGCCCAGGCGAGGGCCCTGCCCTGGAAGACTGGGGGAGGCCCCAGGCCACGGGGCAGCCCTCGCCCCCAGGAAGCAGCCCCACCCTGGGGGCCTGGGGGCAAGGGCTGCCCCCTCCTCCCCTCCCCAGTGAGGGACATTTTTTTGGTAAACCTATTTTCATTTTGGAAAATATTTATGAATAAATAGTTTTATATGACGGCTGGCAGCTGCGGCCTCTCCTCTCCCCCCAGGAGTCAGTGAGCGCTTGGGTGTTGCTGGCGGGACGCCGGGCCCACTGGGGGTTGAACTGGGAGTTGTACCGCCTCCGCCGTTCGTCAGCCTCTTCTTCGGGCTGGTCCTTCTGGGGGGCTAAGCCCCACACCCGGGTCAGGAGGGCCTCCGCCCGAGCACGTTCCGTTGCTTCCCGCCGAAGACGTTCAGCTCGAAGCTGGTCCAGGGCCGGGGGTCTGGGGAGAGGAGTCAGGTCAGAAAGCTCAGAAAGCCTGGAGCCCCTGGAGCCCCCACCCCCTCTCCCCCGAGCGGACGTGCTCTGGTCTGTGAGGCCTGAAGGTGGGAAGCTGGCTTCATGCTGCACACAAGGCTCTGGGGCTCCCATCACTCCCCGCCCCCCCTTACGGTGGGGTGCCCCTCCAGCTCAAGAAAGCCCACTGTTAATCAGCTGTGACAATGAGCACACCCTGGGCCTCAGTTTCCCCTTCTGTGGAAGACCAACTGCTCAGGTTTGTCCTGCTAGGGACACAGGTAACCTGCTCTGACCCCATGGCTCTGGAACTCTGGCCCCCAGAAAGCTTTAGGTCTCAGTGGGTTTTATCACCGTCTTACATGGAAGCCTGTCTGTCCCCACCCACACTGTCTCCCCGGAAGCCACTGGACACTCGAGACCGAGTGAACGTTGCCTGGGGATATCAGGAAAGCGGGCTTGCCTCTGCAGACCCCCGGATGGGCGTCGGGGCCCCAAGACCACATGTTGAGAGCCGCCTCCAGCCGCCCAGCCCCGGACCTAGTGCCCACACGGCCGGCCCAGCTTCCTTACGCTTCCCGCCGCTGTTTCTCCGGCCCCTCCTTCCCCTTTCTGCTGCGGCCGCTGTCATCACTGCTGTGCCCTCTCTTCCTCCTCAAATGCTTCTCCATCTCCCGCAGAGGGTCCAGGCGGTTCTTGATCTTCTCCTCTGGACCTGGGCCGGGCTGGGGGGCCCCTCGCCCTGGGGGGAGCTGGTACCAAGGCGGCTGAGTCTGGGCTTCCGCTGCACTCTGGCCCAGGTATGTCAGGATGCCCAGGGCTTTCTCCTGCCTCTCCTGCGGGGGACAGAAACTAGGGAGGTGAGGAGGTCACGCAGGTCTCCCCTCGGGGAGCCCTCCACGTGACGACAGGACACCCGAGGCTCCTGGACGGGCAGAACCAACGTGAGCCAGCCCTGCCATGTGCTAAGGAGAGGTGGGGCTCCTGCCCTGGGCATGACGGTGGGTTCAGCAACAAGCATGGGGGAAGGGGGGGTGCAGCTGCTTCAGGGTTCCCGAGGCAGGCAACTTTGGGGAGGTAACGTGGGGACAAACCTGAAAGCAGCCAGCAAGGCAAAAGGGTGAGACAAAGGCAAGTTCAGGGTTTGGTGGGAATCCCTGAGCAGGTGAGCGACAGGAGCCCAGGTTCTGACTGACATTGAAAGAGCTCCCACACCTCTACAGGGGTCTGTACCTAGCAGTCCCACAGCGGGTGGGGGGAGGGGGCTCCAGCACCCACTTCCAAGCCCCTGCAGCCCTGGATGGCAGTAACCCGCACTCCTGAGTGCCATGTTCCATACGGAGTTCTCTGTAGCAGCTCGTTTCCCCCCCCCCACTGCTCTGTTCCCGTCAGTCACCCCCCGGCTCTACCCAGGACTGCCTAGGTGGGGGGCCAGCTTACTTTCTCCTGTCGCTTTTCTTCCTCGTACTCTCTGTTGCCACTGGTCACCCCTTTTCCTTCCTCCAGCAGTTCCCGAAACAGGTCCACGGGGCCAGAACTCGGGGCCCCCGCCTGTGCTGCTTCGAGCTCAGGGAGTGAGTTCTGGTGCCTGGCTTTCTTCCGTAGGAACTCTGTGCGGGCCTGGGAAAAACAAAGGTACAGGCAGAGAATTCAGAACCTAGACATGACTCCAAGAACTGTGAGACCGGTACCCAGCACAGAGGACCCCAGTGTTGGTGCTGGGGGCTGTAAGGAAGGGCGCGTGGGCCCTGGGAGCCCAGCAGAGACACCTGTCCCGGCCCGGGAGACGGTGGGACAGTGAGGTGGCACCTGGGCTTGTACACGGCCTTCTCGGTCAGCCACAAGGGTTCCCAACCTCGGGTGACACAACAAAAACAGCTGGAAAGACAGCCCAAAATATGAGAACAGGCGACCAGAACTACAGGCGGGACTCCCAAGTCACTGCTCCCAAGACGACGTGCAATCTCTGCCGACAAAAGCGAACTTTTAAAGTTCAGGTGAGGAGCAGATTCGCTGAAGGACTGAAAACGAGGGATCAGAGGTTACACAAAGCCCCTGGGGGGTGGGGGGGAGCAGGGAGAGGGCGCGCCCCACAGCGGGGTGGGCGTGTTGCACTGTCCCTTCCCTCAGAAACAGCCCACTTCTCTGCACCACGGAGGACAGCGCCCCTGCAAGCTTGAGAGACCGCAGGTCAAGCACTCTGCACCGGGCGAGCACACAGTAGGCGCTCAACAGGGAGGGTGTGCGAACTAAACAGGGGCCCGAGTTTCCTTGAACCGGGCAAGGGTTCATTTTTTTCACCAGCCCCTACTGTGCCAGGCACACTCAGGCCTCGCGAACTACACGAATGGGGGACACCAGGGCAAGGGAGAGGCGCGGGGAGGGGGAGGGGGAGGGGGAGGGGGAGGGCCCGGCCAGTGGGGCCCCCCCCTCCGCGCTTCTAGCCACGCCCAGCTCCTCCGGCCTCACCGGACGCACGGTGCCTGCGCACCACCCCCGCTTCCGGCCCCTCCCCACGCGCATGCGCGCTCGGCCAGGGAGTCCCGCCCGACCCCACTCGGGCCTACCTCCTGCTGAGCGAGCAGCACCCTCCGCTCACGTTCTTTCTCCTCCTCCCGGGCCTGAGCCTCGTCACGCCGCACGCGGGCGACATTGTCCTTGTTCCGGACGTGCCAACTCTTCTTGGGCAAGATATTCATGGCGTCGTAGCCGTCCGCCGACTGGCAGGCCCGCCTCCGAGCACTTCCTGTTGGCGAGGATGCCCCTCCCTGTTGTTCCTGCCTCAGCCACGGATTGGTCCTGGGCTGGCTGCCGCGCCCCTCCAGGCCGTAGCGAGAGCTGATTGGCTGAGACGCCAAATTTGCGTTGGTGTAGCCTAGCGACCGCCTCTCGCCACGGTTCTGAGCCCGTCACGTGTCCCCGCCCTGAAGCTACCGGACGCGGCCGCTGATTGGCTGACATGCCCGTCATGTCTTCTCGAGGCCAATACATTTGATTGGCCTGTGTCTGGCTCTTCCCCCACCCCCCAGCCTCGGGATGCAAGTTAGAAAGAGTGCTCTGTAACCTCAGCTGAGTTTATTGATACGAGAGGTTAACCGGAGAGTAAGGGGCTTGGCAGGGTTGGGGGACTTCAGGGCCCTGGGAATCTCCGAATCCCAGGGCTGTAAGGGCTTGGGGTCTTCTCAAGTTCTCTCCTTTTACAGATGACGCACCGGAGGCTTACAAAGGGTCCGGGGGCAGGTCCGGACTGAAATTGGGACATCGTCCTGACCCAGGCTAGGGAGGTCAAGGAGCCCCGTTGGCCGAGCTCAGGGCCACAGCGCGCTGCGCCAGGAAGACCTTATTCCGCGCCTCCTGAGGAAAGGGTAAAGAAGTGGAGGTGAGACAGACCTTTTCCCCCTATTTCTTTACATATCCAGGACCCCTTCCCACGAACCCGGTCTGGCTCACCGTCTCTATTTGGCGTTTGAGCTCAGAGATGAGACGTCCGTAGGAGTTAGCCAAGGCCACGGTATATGCCATCAGGATGCTAGACAAGACAGAAATGGAAGCCAGAACGCTCTTAGAATATCTTCAATGTAATGGCTCCTTAGAAACCAGGGATCTGGACCCCCAGCCCCTCTTCCCTGAGACCCAGGAGTCCAGGCCCCCAGCCCCTC